GACCGGTGACGAGACGGTGTCGGCGAGCGCGGTATCTCACTCAGCGGCGGCCAGAAGGCTCGCGTTGCTCTGGCGAGAGCCGTCTACGCGAGAGCCGACATCTATGTCATGGACGACTGCCTATCTGCCGTTGATTCCCACGTTGGACGTCACATTATCGACAACGTCCTCGGTCCCAAGGGCCTGCTCAGCTCCAAGACAAGAATCCTTGCTACGAACTCGATTCCTGTTCTTGTCGAGTCAGACTACATCTGCATGATCAAAGACGGCGAAATTACCGAGAGGGGTACCTACCGGCAGCTCACGGCAATGAGAGGCGCCGTCTTCGATTTGATCAAGACTGCTGGGCAAAACGACTCGGGCTCGAGTTCTCCTGTTGCATCTCCTGGTGATAGCGACAGCGAGACATCGACTGTCATCGAGGCAGGATGCAGCAGCCAGGACAAAGAAGAGCTAGAGGAAGCTCAGGAAGGGCTAGGCGCACTCCAGGCCATCAAGCCCGGTCCTGGCAGCTCCGCTTACCAAAAACCGCGGACTGGCAGCATGGCTACCTTGAGGCGCGCGAGCGCCGCTAGCTTCAAGGGTCCCCGTGGCAAGCTTCATGACGAGGAAAATCCCAGCAAGACCAGACAGGCAAAGGAGCACCTGGAGCAAGGCAAGGTCAAATGGTCAGGTATGTGACTGGACGTGACCCCAGAGGCCAGCCCCCCGATGCTAACCCGACGCCAGTTTACGGTGAATACGCCAAGGCAAACAATCTCGCGGCTGTTGCCGTCTACCTCATTGCTCTCGTTGCTGCTCAAACGGCGCAGATCGGTAAGTCTCCCACCCCTTCGCCACGGTCATAGACCTCACCAGCATGTGTCCGTGGGACGCATCACCTTGCCTCCCTTTGCCTCCTTGTTCACCGCCTCTTCAATCACCATTATCGGTCTTGCTTGCTTTGTGACACGGATCGCTAACTCGGCACATAGCCGGGAGCGTTTGGCTCAAGAACTGGGCCGACAGAAACACCGAGGCCGGCAGTAACCCCGAGGTTGGCAAGTACATCGGCATCTACTTCGTGTTCGGCGTCGGCGCTGCCGTCTTGACGGTTGTACAGACCCTCATTCTTTGGATTTTCTGCTCCATCGAGGTATGTCTGGCCAAACAAGCGGACCGGATCTTGAGCTCACATGTGGTTTGCATAGGCATCCCGCAAGTTACACGAGAAAATGGCCACGGCCATCTTCAGGTCGCCCATGTCCTTCTTTGACGTTACACCGGCTGGCCGCATTCTAAACCGGTTCTCGAGGTGCGTAATTGTGGCCCTACTCCAATAATTCTTTCTGCTTTTTTTTTCCCACGGGGTAGGACGAGCCAGCTGCTGTGAAAGGGGGCTTGAGCCAAGTGGCTCCAACGGTGCGGGAACCACCGGCGCCAGCGATGTCATACATCCGTGTCACGTAACGCCCATCGAACTCCCAATCCTGCACAGTGCAGACAGCCTCAAACCTCCGCAGTTTACTGACTGTTTCACAGTGACATTTATCGTGTCGATGAGGTACTTGCCCGGACCTTCAACATGCTGTTCAACAACCTTGCCAGGTCGCTATTCACCCTTGTCGTCATCTCGGTCACAGTGCCTCCTTTTACCGCTTTCATCGTTCCGTTAGGTCTCATGTACATGTGGATTCAGCGGTACTACCTACGGTCATCCCGAGAGCTCAAGAGATTGGACAGCGTGAGCCGCAGCCCAATCTATGCTCACTTCCAGGAGTCCTTGGGCGGCATCTCCACCATCCGTGCATACCGCCAGCAGGACAGGTTCGAGCTCGAGAACGAGTGGCGGGTGGATGCCAACCTTCGTGCTTACTACCCTTCCATCAGCGCTAATCGATGGCTGGCGATACGGCTCGAGTTCATTGGTGCGATTGTTATCCTGGCTGCCGCTGGGCTCGCCGTCACTGCGGTGGCCAACGGCGTTGATCTCAGCCCCGGGATGGTCGGCTTGGCCCTCTCGTACGGCTTGCAAATCACCACGTCTCTCAACTGGATCGTCCGCCAAACGGTCGAGGTGGAGACCAACATCGTGTCCGTGGAGCGCGTGCTCGAGTACGCGCGGTTGCCGAGCGAGGCACCCGAGATCATCCACCGCAACCGGCCGGCGGTGAGCTGGCCGTCACGTGGCGAGATTGAGTTCAACAACTACAGTGCGCGGTACCGCGAGGGCCTCGATCTTGTGCTCAAGAATATCAACCTCGATATCAAATCACACGAGAAGATTGGCGTTGTGGGACGCACGGGGGCCGGGAAATCCTCCTTGACCCTAGCCCTGTTCAGGATTATTGAGCCTGATACGGGCAATATCAGCCTTGATGGGCTCAACACTTCGACCATCGGCTTGCTGGATCTCCGGAGGCGTCTCGCTATCATCCCGCAGGATGCGGCTCTCTTTGAGGGTACCGTTCGGGACAATCTGGACCCCGGACATGTCCATGATGACACGGAGCTTTGGAGCGTTCTCGGTATGTTCCCCCCGTTACACTTTCAACCGTAATCAGTCGACCCCTCCACCACCGTGTTCACATGGCCCTGTCGTTTATTGGGTACACAAGACTAATCTCTGTGACGCACAGAACACGCTCGGCTAAAAGACCACGTCGCCTCCATGGAGGGTGGGTTGGAGGCCAAGATCCACGAAGGAGGTAAGCAGTGCATATTTCCACGTGCTAGTCCCCATATCGTCCCGTTCGTTTTGCGCTTTCTGTCGGCTTTCGCATGTGCCTGTCGTGTCATGTCGCGCCGGTTGCGTCATCGTGGACTCCTTGTTCCTCGGCAGCATCACGGCGCGACACGGCTAGTTGCATTATACCTCGACTGCGGAGCCTTTGATACGAGTAGCCCTTGACCGCAACTACTCGGATTCAGACCGCCAGGCGAGGGGGCGGAATGTCATATCATGGCTCGCACATTGGGGAGGAGTGAAAGTCGAGGTGCTCCGCGAACCGAGGCGCCGTTTCTGTCCTGCCTCTTGCCTTGCCATATGCACCACCGCACCCTCCCATCTAGTTGGATGCGCGCCGGTACACAACGCAGGTCCTTGCAGGATCTCCGATGCCATGGGCATGGCCGCAACACTGGATAAGCCGTGTTCCGAACGTGGCCTGTCCCCCATCACATCATCCGCCCCTATCTTGTGTGCCCTACCCGCTTACCGACATTGCCTGTCATCCGACCCCAATGGCCGCCGCTGCGGTATACAAACTGTCGGAATCAAGTGGTCCGTTGCTGTTCGGCCGGTGCCATCCGGGGCAAAGGAATGTCATTTCTCACACCCGGCAAGGTTCGGGTTCGAGATGAGCGGCTGTGATGGAGCCAAACCCTTGAGCAGACATGCATCACACACACCCTTCCCCCCCCCCCCCCCCCCCCGGGCATTACACACACACACACCATACACACCCTTCCAACCATGAAATTACGATACGATACAAACCTCCAACCAAACAGCTTACTAACCCTCTCACGCACACACAGGGCTCCACACCTCTCGCAGAGGCCAACGCCAGCTGGTGATCCCTCGCGCGCGGCGATGCTCACACCCGTCCAACATCCATGGGTCCTCGACGAGGCCACCGGCGGCCGTCGACGTCCAGACCGACGCCATGCTGCAGACCACGCTGCGCGGACCGCTTCTTTCGCCAACCGCACCATCGTCACCGTCGCCCACAGCATCAACACCATCCTCGAAAGCGACCGCGTCGTCGTGCTGGATAAGGGCGAGGTGGCTGAGTTTGATACGCCGGCGGAGCTGATCAAGAGGAGGGGGTTGTTTTATGGGCTGGTGAAGGAGGCGGGGTTGTTGGAGGAGGAGTGAGGTGGTTGGGTGGGTAAGGGGTTTTAGGGCTTTGGTTTGAAGAGGGGGGGGTGGGGGGGTTGGTGTAAAAAATGAGTTGGATTGCATTGGGGTCTGAAAATAATGAAAAAAAGAAAGGACAAAAGGGAAAGGACGAAATAAACGTTGTCATCATCATCATGCTGGCTTCGGGGGCGGAGGATAGGCCCTTAAGGCCTGTCAGTGCGGGTTGGTGTGTGTGTAGTATAGCTACTGCTACAAAACAAATGGGGTGTAATGTACATATTATGGGAACGGTATTGTTCCGCGCAAACATCAGAATGCATGGCGTTGGAGGTGTTTTTTTGTCTGGTCCGTTTTGAGAAATGTCTGCACGGTGCACGGGCATGAAGCAGTTGGTGGTTTTGTGGTGTTGGTGTTGGTGTTGGTGTTGGTGTTGGTGGTGATGTTGGTTCGCCTGCCTGTGTCTTGCTTGTCCTGGCTGCATTGCATCATCACCTGGCTGGATTTTTTTTGAATTTTTTTTTTTTACTTTCACCGCTACTCTCCTTTTCTCCTGTCGATGCCCTCGGTGTCGCCCCGTGGCTGTCTTCCTGTCGGTCTGTCGCCGCTGCAGTGGGATGTGTGTGTGGGGGGGGAAGGTATCACCAACAAGACTTGCGGGCCGGTCTGGCTGGATGAGAAAGCTAGGCTAGACTAAGCTAAGCTAGGGCAGCCATTATTGAAGTGGGATGGTGGGATGGTGGGATGGTGGGTTTGGGGATGGATGACGGGGTGGATGGATGGATGGATGGGTTCAATGTATGAAGGATGGAGATGGGTGCATGGATTGAAGTTGGAATGAGAAGAAATGGAACAAAACGTGGCAGCTAGCTCGAGGAGACGGGACAGACAACCCGGGTAGAGAGGCAGACAGAAAAAGATAAGAAGCTCTGCTCTGTCAGCCATCAACAGATAAGTAACTACAGCACACACACCCACGACTTACACCCAGCACAGCGTAATGCAGCACAGCACAGCAGCACGCATGGTCAGCCAGCCAGCTGGCCGGCCGGCCGTTCAGTCCCATGCCGGTGTGGTTGGACCGTGACCAACCGCGTGACCGAATCTTCATGTCGGGTCAGCCCGAGTCATGCCAGCCACACACACACACACACACCGGCAGTTGAGTTTTGGGCTGTGTGTCTCGCATCGGTACGGCGGGGTGAGACATGATGGTGTTCAGAGACCAGACAAAAACGCCCTTCCAACATGTATGTGATGTGATGATATGCGTAAACGGTTCGGTGGGTGGCTGGCTGGATGGCGGGGGATGGGGAACTCCAGATCATGCAGGCTGCCGCGGGGCGGCTGGGAGGGGAGGCGTTGCGGTCGTGATGGAGGTGTTCGAGTTGGTGGTGGTGATGGTGGTGGTGGCGGCGGCGTGCTACATTTACCTTGTTTAGAATTACCTTGTTGGTGGTGCCGGGCAGGACGGCGCCCAGAAGGGAAAGGGATTGCCATCCTGGAAGGGAGGATATTTCCGAATAGGGGATGTCGGGTTGCGGCTCAGCGAAAGGGTTTATTTAGTATGGAAATGGGCGTGGTCTGGTCGCCTTTGCATGACCCGTCCACACGGACACCACAGGATGAATAAGACAGGTCTAAGATAGTTATGAGGAGGATTGAGAGATGAAGAACGGGGTTGACTCAAAGAAGTTCGCGGAGAGTCTGCTCCGGGTGGTGTGGCCTTACTGTTGTGATCTGGCGTGGCTGATAAGAAGGGCCTAAACATCTCTATGCTTTTGCTTCGCTGGGTCGCTGGGCCCTGACCCCCCTCCTGCCCTTGCTTCTCAGTCCCACTCTGGGTACCGTTCCCTTTCATGTTCCCCTAGTCCGCGCGCCTCACGGCCCCAGGGTGTCAGAACCAGGACCGGGAACGGGGGGAAGAGGGGGGGTTTTCAGGGTCGTGTAACCCGTCCATTTGTCCAAACATCTTAATGTCGGCATCACACGCTTGATCACGGCGTCTGCGTGGATGAACACAGCTTAGTCGGGTTATGCCTGGGACTCGAGAAATATGGGAGAGAAACGTGTGGTTCGGTAATAGCGAGGCCAAGGGGTCGTATCCTGTGTAGTTAAAGAAAAGGAGGGTGGGACAAAAAAGACGTTGAGGGGTCTGAGACTGAGATCCTGCGGTCTGTTCGCTGAGTTACACCGGCGCAAGCCATTGCCGTGGTCGAAGGGTTACGCAAGGGCAGCCCCGTGGTACACGTGGTGATCGCAATGCCTAAAATGCAGATTCAGGCGGTGAGAATGTTGATAAGAGAACCCTGTACCTCGTTGACAAGATCCAAAACTCCACGATATTAGCATGAAACCAACGCGCAAAATGCCGTACTTGGACTCGACGATGGGACATCACCCGCGGAGACCGACGGGAAGGGAGCAACCGCGGTTCATCCACGGCCCCCTTTCCCCTGAATAACGAGTTTTCTGGCTCAGCGAAGCGAGGTGCAGACCTGGCTGTGTCCGCTGTTGTGAACACTGTGATGAAGCTTGTCAGGCACCAGAACGGAAAGTCCCAACAAGATCAGGGCGGCGGCATGACAAGGATGGCGAGGCAGCGGCACAGCTTCCTCGAATGGGGGTGGTCTCCGCATATCCAAGGCGATACATCTGTAAAGTTGCCAATAAGACTCGGTGTGGGTCCAATGCCGCAGGTGCGAGAGAGCATGTGAGCGGGCCCAGACCCTGGAAGACTCGCACATCTAATCTACGCATGTACATAACATATTGTGGATAGCCGGTCGATCTGCTGCTCTTGGGCTCGGGCCAGCTTTGGTTGTTAACGCCGCGTGGGTTGTCTCAGTCGGTTGGTAAACCGTCAACGTCTGCTAGCGAAGCCAGCGAGATCAAGGCGCCGATCCGGATACCTTGCAATGAGACCCGGCGCGCCGCCTTGGCTACGGCATTGAGAAGACGCGTTGGTGCTCTGGGCGGCTTGGGGTGACAGGGTGGGCGTGGATGACGCCTCCGTTGCTTCGGGTTGGCGATGCGCCCCGAAATGCAAGGGAATCTAAAAGGGGCTTAGGGTGGGGAGACATGATGATGTTGTGCCACCGCTGCGCGCGCTCAGCTTGGTGGCGACCGCCTGCCGAGCCCACCCCCCCCCCCCCTTCCTCCCTTCCATCGTTACTGTGTAGTTAGCGTTGATCCGGCAGGCTTTCGGTTTGAGACAAGCGGAGTCCAGCCTTGTGGGACGGAATGCGGGTTGTGGAGAGACGACTTTGGCAGTTGGCTGGGGGTCCAGCGCGGGATCTAAGACAGAACGAGTCGCGGTTCACTGGTTCTCACTGAACCCCGTTGTCGTCGAGGTCGGCGACCATGGGGCAAACATGCTCTTCGCCCCGAGCTCTCACCGACACCCAACCCGATGATTCCAGGCACAAACATGGTGTACCTTGACACTTGGCACTTATGGTGTCGAGTACGGACGTTCCCATAGGCCATGTCCTAGCCACTCACTCCGGACACGGGGATTTGTGCAACGACACGGCGAAAGATCCTAAGGAAGCTCCTATTATTATGGGGGTTTTCGGAATACCTGACTGGTTTTGGAGAGGTCATGGTAACTCGGCGCGGGGATGACGACGGTTCTGGCATCGGGTCCGTCCCTAGAAGGAAATTATTAGCGACCTGACGCGGATCGTGCTGGATGTACCCTCGGCCCTCTTCCTGGTGTACATCATGGACTCTACCATGAATGGATACCGTCAGTCTTGGAAGATGGGAATGGCTGGGAGGATGTTGCGTCACCCCCTCCCTCGTCTTGGTGAGATCGCGGGATAATGACGGTGCGACATCAGTACTTGTACCTACAATCTGGATGCCAGGCGAGGGCAAATGCCGAAGGTCCCGGGAGGACGGTTGTCATTTTCCTTCTTTTCGACCAAGATAAGCTCGCGGCAACCCGCCCAGTCGGTGATGGCGTGCATGTCGCTGAGGTCCTTGCAAGCCGTCCGGACCAACTCCAAAACCAACCACTCGGGTCAGGTGCTCCAGGCCGGATCAATGATGATTTGGGTGCCTTTCCCGCCAACCCGTCGGTCGACACTTGCCTTTTTGCTTTTTTTTTTCATTTCTCTATTTCTGGACGAGGGGTCGAAACCATCACCGTTTTCCTGCTCATTTCGTCGCTTCTTGGAATGCAAAAGTATCCGGGATGTTTATGTTAAAAAGAAAGAGGAAGAGTTTAATCGTGATGATGGGCGATTTTCTTTCTATCGCATCATCTATCCATCGTCTTGAGTTAGGGTGCGGATGCCGCGGGTGCGGGACTGGCAAGGCAGCTAAAGGGCCGTTCCGAACCTGGTGCCGTATCGATTTGGGCAAATGTGATGGAAAACGAGATGTTACTCTTGTTTTGTGGATAACTAACCCAAACCAACAGTTATCCGTTCACGCCGTTATCGACGGTGTTTCGGCAGTTCGAAGAGACCGACCGCTCGCAGATCGAGCCCCGGCAAGAAATCGTAGCACCACCACGATTGTATTGCACAGCCAGGAGCGAGGTACCGACATGCGCACAGTTTATCCCCGACATTTATCTGCCGTGGTTTCGCCGTCTTTCTGCTGCGGCTTCCTCGAGTGTGTTACTCCGTGTACCTGGCTCTGAATGTTCATTTTTGTTCTATTTGCTGCGTATTCGTATGTGACTCGAGGCCGGCAGCTGTTTTAGGGGGCCATGCCGACTTGCGATATATTACGTACCTTACCGCCCCTTGGACAAAAAAAGCTGAACTCCACGTGTGCTTGTAGGCGCCGACAGCTATTCGGAAGACCAAATCTACTTTTTACTTTGCTCAATTTCTTTTATTTGATTTATTTTGCTCGGTTTTCTTCTCCTGTTTTCTTTTGTACTTTTTTTCTTTTCTTGCTTTCTTTCTCCCATTTCGAGTTCGGCCTTTTTTGGCCAGAGGGGCTTACCTTACAACCCAACCGAGAGTTGACCTGACATGGAAGGTACGAAGGTACTTGACCACTTTCACACTAGGTCGTTTCTGTCAAAATCACCAACGGAGGAAAGCGTGCCCGCCCGAGACATTCTGACGGCCTATTCATCCGTCTTATTGGCGGGCAGCTCAATGGTGGATTCAGGCCAACATCTGGCGGTTGCTTCTTGAGGTCATCCCGCTTCACCAATTGCCTATATGCATCCCAGGGTTACACTACCTCTTTTCCTCGATGCTCAGGTACCTATCGGGGGCATTATCAACAATCAAAATTAGCCCATTGGTCGTTTGCGGTCATGGAAGGTGAGACTGAACTCGTTTCCTATTGCCCAATCTGCGAATTTGGGCAACTCTGGGCTTTCTCCGGGTACGGTACGCGCCCGATTTTTCTGCCTCTCGTCCCCCCCGTGGTGTCGCATCGAGGCCCAAAAAGACTCTCGAGGTCGAGGATGCTCTTTCGGTATTGGTTATTCGAGAATGCATGGAACACAGTGAATAACATGGATCAAACTTCAAGTTTCGACGCAATGCTTGCGAGCTGCCTCTCGCCGCGTTCAATCGGGAACGATCCGGGCCATCGGGCGCTTCTGCAGCCAAGGTGACGATGACCCGAGCTTGCAGTTTGTTGGCTATGTCATGCATGTAGTGGTCTCTCGAAGTGCTTGCTCTGCTCAGCTCATGCAGGGATTCCGATCGATGACCCCCGCTGCGCATCAGTGGGGAGTGGGGTTTCGTATTGGAGAATACATGGGTACGGGAGGGAGATCTCTTGGACCGATGAAACCGCACAGTCCACTTGCCCGCCCATTTCCCTCTGGCGAACGGATTTTCCCGTGAATTCAGGGTAGGCTGGGATGGGGGAGATGGCTTCGGGGGGAGCACGTTTCTTGGCGCGCACGTTGCTGGATGGATCATTTATACTAGAGGAAACGGTTCTCGATGGCGGTACGATTTTACAATAGCGGCCGACCACCCCGACGGCGGCCAAAAGTAAGAAGGATTGAGAAGTAACCTCGAACGCGAAGGCTTGCGCGTCGGCCACCCAAAGATACCTTATGTATGTACCTATGTACGACCTTGCATTCTGGGCCAAGTGGGATGTGGGCGCACGAAAAGGGAAGCGCAAACAAGGATCACCGTTACTCCTGTTGGTTCCTCCTGCTGCTGCTCACATGTTGCTCGTCCTGCTGTTCGCCCGCCTGCTGCTCGAGGCCTGATCGAGATGATGATCGATCATTCCGGCAGCAGCCGGCATGCATGCAGCGTCCCGGTATTTTCGAGTTATTCGAGTTGTTCGGGTTCGGGGGTGGGGGGGGGAAAGATAGGCTCAACTGGGCAGCATTGAAAAATATTGGCCGCGGCCATCGCGCAGCTTGCCAGCTTCGCTTTCGCCGTCACCGTTATCAACGTTGTGGAATGTTTCGCTTGCTGTCTTGGTTCATGTCAAACTCAGGCCCAATGCGGGAATAACTGTTTGATTGACTGGGAAGGGAGACGTCATCTTGTGCTCTTGAAACTAGCCAAGACGGTGGCGGCCGTATCGCGATTGATTGCGCCCGGTGAGCCAGCCTCGCTCAGACGGCGATAATGTTTTTTCATGGCTGGCAGTATTCGTTTGCAGAGATCTTTATCCATGTAATTACATAACTACCAGGAACTGCCCGATTTCCCAGCCCAGGCGAAGAATACCGCGCCAAGACCTGGGGGTCTCATCGTACCCGCCAATTCTGTCAATGTCACAAATACAAATCACTCACACTGGTTAAGTGGGGCAATGATCTCAACCCAAGCTCCGGTCGATCTTTCTTTAGTTTCCATCCACGATGGATCCAGCACCAAGCTTTTTTTCAGGGACTTCGTTAAACCTACCCCAGTTCCCGAAACGTCCTCTTATTTCTTTTATTTTCCTCCGCGGGGAGAAAAGGGACGTCCCTTTCCAGAAGCCCCGCGTCGCGTTGCAATTATGGCGCCATTCGAGACAGTCAATCCTGTCTTGTCAAGTTAATCCCGCTTCTGTCAATCTGGGCGATTAATAATTCAATTGCTGCTCTCAGGCGGTCTGCATCACCCACCATTTGTTGTCACTGACAGACTGATCTTGCCATCACTTGGTTGTCGAGTCGGAGCGGTGCAACATTGACTCACCTCCGTCCTTGATAAAGCCGAACGATCCCGGATGGGAAAAAGAAGGGAGTAGCCGAGCGCAGGCAGATAACCGAGACATGGTGCAGAACGAGGACGATATGGCGAGAGCCCTGCCCTGCTCTGTGACGACCGTCTCCCCCCTCCCCCCCCCAGCTCCAACGGGCTCCGTTTTGGCACAAAAACGCCCCGTCAATTCTCTCGCCTCCACCCACGGCGGCTGTACCTGCAACTACACAGGGTACATACAGTGCGAGCTGCTCGCCAACGCCCATCATGCTTGTTGTTCCGCAAGCCTTGCTTGTTCTGCCAGCCCGACGGAGGTACTGGCCAGTCTTGGGTCGACCTGCGTCCAATGTGGCGCCTCCTTTGGTGTTGTGTCTCCATCTCGGCGGCAGAAATAACCAAACACAGTAGGCATGCACGGGCATAGGCATGAAGCTCGATTACACAGCACATAAGCAGCTGTGCGACGACATGCTCAATGTCGGGAAAAAGGGAAACGAAGTTCACTCATTTGTCTTCGTATATTTCATCGCCTCGCACCTTGCTCCCGTCGCCTCCTCTCTCTGCCTCCAAACTCCATCTAGCGTCTCGAACAATCGCCAAACTCTCTCGTTCTCGTTCTACCTCCCTCTTTGACATATGAACTGCCACATCACGCTAGTTTAGTCCGGCTACCGTCCCGTGTCTCGGAGCACATCTTCAACTGCACCCGGTCAATCGTTGTCTTGGCTTCCAACCAGACTCAACCGGGCCTAGATACAACTCCCCCAGAGGCGGTTTCAGACTGAGCAAAGCCTACACTTCCCTTATAAGTCGACAATTGAGCTCGGACGTTTAAGAACCAGTCATAATCGACCGAGACGGCGCCGAACATACATAGACCAAACCCAACGACGTTCTCGTTGCTACCGTGGAGCCGTCCTAGTTTCCAAGTTAACTAGCAACCAAGGCCTGGGCGGTTGACAAGAGCCCGGCTCCCCGACAAGCTCAAGTCGGTCCCGGACCGTCTCCACTTCAACTGCGCTCTCCCGTGGCCCCCGAGACCTCGATTGAAGAGGGGTGGTCACGACCTGTTCTGTATTTCCGGTTCTTACTTCCTCACCTTGCCTGCTGAGATACCTTCTCCCAGGACCAGCGGCCTTTCTCCACAGTAAACTCTCCTCGCCCGTTGGCCCCCGCTATTCCTTGACCTTGTCACCCCAGAGGTGACCCTGTCAGCCACCTCTCACCTGTGATCCTTGCGCCCAAGGGTCCTGGCCATTGACCAAGTCAGCTTCAAGCAGGCCCGGTCCTTTGGCTCCTTCAAAGGTAGGGGGCGCCCTCCTCCACAACAAGAAACCACATCCACACACCAACCCATCACACCACACACAAGAACCCACTCGTCTACTTCCCCAGGACGGCACAGCTGGAAAGGGACTTACTATTCCCACGCTGCTATTTCTCAAGTGGTCAGTTGCCACCCCCCCTGGTCTACAGCCGCACGAACAGACAAAGAAGTCTAACTGCAGGGTCCCGCCCCCCCAGGCCATACTATCTCCAAATCTGATATCACTGTTTGAGACGGGCACCCTTACGTCTCCACCGTCTTGATAAGCAGCAAACGCCTCCAGTACCGACATCTGACAACCACGGTCAGCTCCCTTTGTTGCCCCGTGTCCCGCTGGCCCACTTCGTCTGGCACCATTCGCGAGCCCGGCTACTTCCGCCCGTGAAGTAACGTTGTTGACTCCCTTCGGGGTTTTGGACCGCGATCCTGTGGCTCGTCAACATCCGTTCGACCATTGCGGCCTTCTGCCATTGGACTGCCTGAAGGGGTATCGGTTGCCATCCTTCTCACGGTCTTGTCCCAGAGACACACAGATAGATCTACGGTATCCAACGAATTCAAGGCCGAAGCAATTTTGACTTTTGACTACAATCTCAAAGTCCCGGAATAGCAAGGCCGGTGTGCCTGCTTTCCGAACCCACCCCCCTGACCGAGCTCATCAACGAGGACCCACCACGGTAGCCCCCGTGTCTCATGAGGCCACGCCTCGATTCGATCCGGTTCCACTCAACCTGTGGCAGCAAGATATATCTGCAGGTCCTCTCGCGTGTTTGTCCGGCAGAGCGCATCATCATCGCTCCTCGACGCAGAGAGTCCCTTTAAACCTTGACACTTGCTGCGACCTCTCACTGCTGTCTTACTCGTCTCGCCCCCTTTATACGCCACGAAGCCTGACCCAGCCGCCACCATGGTCACTGCTCATAGTGACTGCTGTAATGCCTGCTCTCGGCCGTGGGATGGAAGCCGGCCCGTCCTGGACGACGCTCGAGATGCGGAAGCAAAGAACTCTCCGCCTCTGGTACGCACTCCCACCCACCCCCGACCCTCCTAGCTCTCTAAACCCGGGGCTACCGGGCATACCTCGGGCACACAAGACTAACCACGACGCAGACGGTTGCTAGGGCACTACGGGAGCATTGCAATATCCCTTTCGACAGCTTCTTCCTTGCCACACACCTTGGGCATGGCAACTTTGCCTATTTCTCTGGCCCCGGTCCCATTTCGGAGGAAAACATTTGCAAGATGTTCCTAAGGGACAAGTACCTCAGGTTCCAAGAGCGGGCGTCATCAAGTAAGTTTGAAGGAAAGGATGCTGCATTCCCCCCCAGCATCTTGCTGACTGGGAACCTAGGAGACGGCGTACAGGAAGGGTATGAGGACGAATATCGGTGTTATTCTACTCGCAGCTCGGCTCCCGTCGACGGCCGCTGGTCGGTCGAACCTACCCGCAGAAAACGGCAGAGAAGGCAGGCCCCAATGCGCCGTGAACCAGACGACGACGCACCGCCCGTCATTACCAACTCGAGAAAGACGCTTCTGATTGGCGACTCGGCGTCCGTGATGGAGTTTTACGACCGCGGCTTCAAGGCCATTCAGCAAACCGCCTGTAAAGAGATCGCCAAAGCCTTCATCAAGATTCTCTGCCCCAAAAAGCAGCGCAGGAACGCGTATGTTGGGGGCGAAAAGACGGCCCCGGACTGGTGGCCTCTGCGGTACGGCCCGGGCGATAAGGACAAGGTCCGGCACGTCGAGCCTGACCATATGTGGAAGATTGGTGGGTGCTTGCTTTATCGGAGCGGGTTCTTGTGACTTAAGCTGACTGTGAAATAGAACGCGTTTACATCTTGAAGTACATACTGAGGATGGTCATCCAACCCGAGGCCCGGTCACCTAGCGTCCAGGCGCTGGGCGTGCTCACCATGGATAAGTTCGAAGCCGCGGCCATGGATTCGCTCTCGTCCTGGTTTGTGGATCCACATAAGCCCAGGAATGCAAAGAAAAAGCCCATCTTGAAGGAGATCTTCCGGGTTGCCAAGATGGAGGAGAGGTACAGGAAAAACGAGATCGGTGGGTTACCGTCGCCCGATCCTGCTCGGAAGGTTGTATTGTGCTGACCTCGAGCCACAGATGCCACCACACAGATCATCGTCACGGCCGATGACATGGTCATGAATCACTGCTTCGACCCGGAGGAGGAAATGGCCGACGACCTGGCAGAGTCGGCCGCTATGGAAGCCGAGCGCTGCCGTCTAGACTCACTCTTGACTCGCGTCTCACCGACCCGAAGTACCGCCGTGCCGGTGCTCCCGTCGATGTCGTCCACGAGCCCATCGGTCCAGACACTGACTACCCAGTTCCAAGCAACGCCGTTTCTCCACGAGCTGCCGATCCGCGCCCAGGCGTACAGCGCGCCCGCTATGCTCCCCGCCGGGCTCACCGCAGATCAGTATCCGTACACCGATCCCCACAGCTTGGCTGCCACCCATCCTGCGGCCTCTATGCAAATGCACCCCCTGATCACCGGCAGCCCACACCACCATGCCCAGAGCCCCCACAACTCACAGCACGACACGAGCCGGCGCTCATCCCTCTTCGTACCCACCACTGAGTTCAACAGCCCCTCACCGTCGGCCATCTACCATCACGCGAACCCGTGGCCCCAATCGCCACAAACCCCGGGGCATGCCACGCACAGCACGACCGGCGCCTCCTCCCCAGACACGTCCTCCCCTCTATTTGCGTATGCGCCCACGCACAGTCTCCCGAGCCACCACAACCACCATCAACCGCCACCACCGCAGCAACGCCATCACCACAGCCACGTTCAGCAGCAGCAGCAGCAGCAGCCGCAGCAGCAACACATCCAACAACATCAACAACAGCAGCAGCAACCGCAGCAACCGCAGCAACCGCAGCAACCGCAGCAGCAGGCCACCAGCGTTCCGGCGCTGCCGCGGCCGATGCCCCTGGTGCAGGTGGCACACCAGCAACACCAGCAGCACCAGCAGCACCAGCAGCACCCACACACCAGCACATACAGCGCCAACACCTACTACACCACCGCTGTACCCCACGGATTTGAGGCCCTCCCCGAGATGCCTCTACCACCACAGCACCAGCAGCATCACCACCATGGTCTGCCTACCATTTACCATCACCACCACCAACATCATATCCAGCACAGCAGCATCAGCAGCAATCGGTGATGAGCCAAGGCCAGAACCAGCTTCAGGCTCACCGGGCCCAGCGACGGCCGATATGGGCGTGGCGCGGGCTTAATGCCTGCTTTCCCGCCAACCTGCCTACCTTATGATCGGTTTGGTGTTCTGGTTCTTTTTTTTTTTTTTTTTTTTTTTTTTTGGCTATAGACGTGTTACATGCTGTATGGCTTCCTCCTGTTTTATTACATTACTCTGCCGTCGCTGTTTTCCGTTTTCTCATCGGGGGCGGGTGGCAAGGCTGTGATAAAACGGTTGAGGGTGGAGGTGGTGTCATTGGGGGGCTGCAAGACTGGATACGGATATGCCCTGGTGTTTTTGTCGGGTTCGGAGGGTCGCGTCGCTTGTCTCTGGTCTGTCGGTCGGTTTCTATTTCTTTTTTTTGGTGAGGGGAGGAGGGTAATGTCGGGGGTTGGTTGGTTGGTTGGTTGGTTTTCACCTGGACGACGACTCTGGAAGCTCTTTTCTTTTCTCCTTTGCTTGCGTTTTTGTTCATTTTCGTTCAATAACATAGTAAACTATCTACGCAGACTGGCATCAAATCACAGAACATACAACTCCCGCCATTGACAACCGGTTGTAAATATCGTCTCGAATCTTGCGCTGTCCAAGGGTGTCTGTCTCTGCGGTTATCCTCCCCATCTCCGGCTTCTCACCAAGGCCCACCCCTACTTGTTCGACAGAATTCCACGCATTCCGGAAGCCCTTCGATCCCATGGGATAAAGTCCCATAATTCCCGCCCTGCCAAATATCACCTCTCCATGCCAAAGCCACCTCGTGCCCAAAGGCGCCACGCCACAGTGGAAGTCCATGTCACGATGACATTCGCACTCAGCAGCAATACCTCTCTCTCACACGCACCACACCCTTCCCCCTTGCGTCTTGTGTGTTGTGTTGACATCACCCACACACCCTGCCCCAGCCAACATCAGGCATACCCAGTCCAGGGTTCTAAAATAGACACAGCAGAGAGGAATTGCCAGATGAGGCGAAACACCGCAAGCACATGGAAGGAAGGGGGGTTTATCACCCGAGCAGGGGGCCGGGGGAGGGAGGAGGGGAAGGGGGCAAGAAGACCGCCGACGTGTAACATATCATTTCAACAATCTCAGCAACATGTCATGTCATGTCGTGTCGTCAACATCAGCCAGCCAGGCCAAGCCTAGCGAAGAATGGGGGATTTTACACCCCTCCCCTTTTTTTTTTGGGGGGGGGGGGTGTTCGTGCTGCAGAATATTGGCTGTCCTTTTTCAAGGGTGTGTGTGGGCGGCGAATGTGACGAGGCTTGCCTTGGTGTGTTTGGGGTGTTAGGTTTTCTTTGTCCTCATGCTGGCCGTGCAGCGTTAGCGAGAAAGTGGGAGGCGCTGCCGGCTGTTGGCGATAGGCTGCTGGCTGCGGGTTGCTGGCCTGGGCTGGTGATCACATTTGCGTCCGCAGGTAGACTCCATGTAGGTGACGTTTTCTGGGGTGGGGAGGGGAAGGGGGGTTTGTTTTGCTCATCTGACTGAGGAGGACCGTACATACATTGCTCGTCTCGTCTTGGTTGCCCAGTTGGGAAGTTGGAGAGGTCAATCTCTTGTCGTATCGTATTCGGGGATCGGGTGTTGTGTGTTGTTGCCTCGGTAGGCTGTGTCGATGGTAGTCAGTCCTCTGCCCCATTGCCTCTTCCTCTATCCACACCCGTCCTCCGTTTTGTGCTCCCCGAGCTGCGGCGACGGTCAGTTCGGGCAGTAGCTTGCTTCCTCGGGCCGAAACCAACGGGGGATATCGATCTATGTGCGTAATCACTTGCATATTGGTATCGACCGCGAGGGGGCGCGTGGGGAGGGAGAGGGGTTAAGTGTATGTATGTACCTTAGGTGCCTCGGCGAGCAAACAGAGGTGCTAGGAGGCCAGCGTCGGGGGAGGTTGATGTGGAAATCGTACCAGTTGTGCAGAACGCGCGGATCTTTTTCCGTTTTCTCTGTCCTTTCCTAGCCACGCGGTGGAGTGTATCTGCGCGAGGAGTGTGTCAGGTGGCGTCCATCTCCCCTCGGCTTCCTCCCTACCCGGGAAGTCTACAGACAAACCGGCAGCGTGGGTGAGATGCTCGGATGGTGAGGGCAGCGGCGGTGTCGGCAGGCCCCCCCTTGCCGCCCCGCCCTCCTGGACCCCCGTATCATGTCATGTATCTAGGGACGCCACGCCAATCGCGGGCCCCGGGACCACTTCGGTTTTCGTTGGCATGCACGTACTGCATGCATATGCGCATCGCTGGGTCCGCTCCGATGCGATGGACCGTCAAGCCATCGTCAACGCCAGGCTTGGCGTGCGTTCTGCAACGAAAACAGAACGCGAGATGGGGGCTTTTCTCCTCCTGGGAGGGGAAGGTGCCGTGTTCGGGGCCGGCCCGGGCGGATCACTTGCCCTGCGAGGGTCGGCCTGTGGGATTCACGATGGGGAAGCGACATGGGTTGGAGCGGGTGAGTGCAGGAGGCTACGGCAGCTGAGAAAGCTAAGGGGCCTGGTGCATCTGCACTGTGCTGCTGGTGTATCGTTTTCTCTGTATGTATCTTGTTTGTATCCCGTCCGTAACGGTGGTGATGGCACGAAACGGTGGGCTAGGTTGGTATTGTACTGGGCAGATCTCATGCCACATCGTATCCTGTCCGTTTGTCCTTCCCAAGGCATCTTAAAGATGATGCAACGTGGCAAGCCCGGTTCTGTCCTCCACAAGATCCTGCGCCCTTCAAGTCACTTTACACAACCTGGTGGCTGGCACCGGCTTTTTTGGGGAGGCAACAATGTTTTTCTGGTAAAGATTTGGTCATGTGTCTGCGGGACGCCACCTGCGGTGAATGCGGCGATGCCGCGGAGAGCGCGCTCCGGAGCCTTTCGGACCTCGACTAGAGCAGCGACTGGTCCTGAGTATACCACCGGCAGCTAAGCAGGGGTTGGCGGAATGGGTTCCTTCATTACTTGTGTGGTATTTGTGACCACGGGTCCCGCGAGCTCCGTCGGAGACAAACCCCGTTACAAGAGTTGAGAGTTACATGTAGGCCCACAGATATCGGGTATCTCGAGTCACGGTTGCTGTTGGATCCCGCAGATATAGTGATTCTGTAATTGAGCGGTTCTCCCGTTTGTCATTCGGTTTGATGCCGCCGTCCAACCAGGAGAGGTGAACCTTGGAAATTCCAAATAATTCGAAATCTAAGGCTGGGCTTTGTGTGTTGTCTGGTTATAACAACCGCCTCATTGCCTCATTTGTTAAGGTGGTAAATACCCAGCTTATCCTATTATTTTCGGTTACGGTAATCCCAGAAAGTTGGGAGAATCGCCGGCCATAGCCTTCAAAGCTGACGGGCGGACGTTAGTTGAGGACGTTAATGGTGAAGATGTTGGAACTAGAAGCAGCACCGCGGACCGAGCTTGGCCTGGGAGCCTAGATCGAGTGCCAAAACAGAGGACGTCTGATCCCAACCACGTTCTCGGCCAGCTCAGGGAGTCGTATCCCTCACTGGTTAGTGCTGGCGGTAGCTCTCGCGTGCTGGTGTCCCGACGAAAAGCTTAAGCGTGTCGATGATGTATGGCAAGGCAACAACCATGCCTCAATCCCCGTTTCTCGAAGGGTTCGCATCCCCGGGCTCATTTTCAGGCCCGCTCTCGCTCCTGTTGTCCCCTTCCTCCTCTTCATCATCATCATCATCATCATCATCATCTTTCTCCTCTTCATCCTCTCCCTCCATCTCTTCAGATCCATCCCCCCAATCACCATCCCCGCCACCCCCCTCTTCCTCACTTTCCTCCTCCTCATCACTACTCTCCTCCTCCCTCTTCCTCTTCCCCTTCCCCCCACCACCAAGCCCATCCCCCTCGCCCTCCCCCTTCCTCACAAACACAAAACTCCTCGCCGCTCTCTCCTCGCCCCTCCACGCGCCGACCGCCACCCCGCCCCTCCGATTCCTGACGACCCCCAACGTGCGCGCGTGCTCATAGCCGGGATACACGGACGCGACGAACCGGAAACTGCGCTCCACCTGCAGGCCCGCGTGGCGGGCGAGGTCGCGCACGTTCCACAGGGTGTAGGGCTCGCCCTCGAACAGGGTGACGACGATGGTGCCGCCGGGCGCGAGCGACGGCTGCGCGCGCCGGAAGAAGTCGACCAGCAGCTCTTGGTTGTGGCGGACCTGCCGGTTGACGTCGGTGGATTTGCCGCCGGTGTGCGGGAAGTTGAAGATGATGCGCTTGATGGTGCCGGTTGGGGTTGGGGTGGCGGTGGTGGTGGTGCAGGTGTGGAGGTTGGGGTTGGGGTTGGGGTTGGGTTTGGGCTTGGAGGGGGGCTTGGTGGTGAAGGCGGGGAGTTTGCGCGCGTCGATGCCGTAGAGGAGGCGGTTGTTGGGTTGAGAGGGGTCTTCGATTACGGAGATGTTCGCTGGGACGTGCGGGTATTTGGCTGAGAGCTCGGCGAGGTCTTTTTCGAGGACGGTGGCGGTGACGTTGGTGCAGCGGTGGTGGGTTATGAGGGAGGCGGCAAACGAGAGGTCGCCTTCGCCGATGAGGAGGATGGAGTCGGAGGGGGAGAAGGGGATGGTCGGTTTTTGGTTTTGCTGCTGAGGGCCATTGCTGGTTTTGTTGGTAGCAGTGGTGTTGCCCGACTTCTGCTTCTTCGCTGCTGGATGTCCAGACCCAGGCCCAGATCGTGCCGCTCTGGGATTTCTTCGATGCGGGCGCCGACTTGGATCCGGGCACCGTCTTTTCTGTCTTTTTCGTCTTATCCGTCTTTTTTTGCTGTTTGACAGCCTTGACGGCGTTCTGCAGCAAACCGCGGCCTTTGGCCATGGCCAATCAGCCAACTACTCAACTCCTCAAAGATCGTTGCTGTCGATGAATAAAAAATAAAAAAAAAATGGGCCGGAAGCGAGGTCGGAGGGCTCGGCTCGGGCGGCGACGGCAGTGTTCGTAGTGGTCGGGATCGGTTCGGGATAGACCAAGGTCAGCTCCGGACGGCCGGAAATTCGGAAATTGGCCGCAAAAAAAAAAGAGGAAAAAAAGGACGAGTTGCCGTTTGCTCGGTCCCAGGGCCCAGCCGCCGCTGACTTGCGTGGTTGGCTGTGGGGGAGCTTGATTCAGGACTGCCCGGGATTGGTATTGGATGGTAGATGCCAAGGCGGCTCCGGAGTTAAAGCTGTGGGTTCCCAATGCCTGTTCGAGATGCAGCCAGTCACGAGAGAGGACAACACAGCAGCAACAGCAAAGCAATACAAGGTGAAGAAATCAACGACTGCCAGCCTGGCATCGAGGGGTTTAACGAGCAGATGGTAGGCTTGCGGTACTCATCACAGACACCGCCAACACCTGCTATATTTTATGGCTGTTCTTGTAAAATCTTGCTTGTCAAACTGGAGGCTGATTGACTGCTTCCTTACAAGTTTTGCAAGCTCTAAGTTATCTATCCGACGTTAAATAGGCAGGTACCCGTATGTGCACGACATTTAGTTCCATACCCCGGATTTGTCGGCTTCAGTTCGTCCTGCCCATCTTCCGTCACGGCCATGCGGGTTAATGCAATTGGGAGCGGTAAGTCAGGAACAGGTACCTTAAGCAGGGAGAACGAACGCAGGCTCGGGCTCCCAGATTGCATCGCGAGGGGGAATCCAGCCTGCACATTCGTATATAACTCTGTATAGTGACGAGAATCCAATACCAATAGTAGTAAAAGCACCTGCGATAGTTGGTATTTCGATGCTCTGCCTGATCGTAGCCTTGGCTTGTGGGGGCTCGAAAGAGGCACAAACATACTGTGTACCTAGGTACCTTGTTCATCCGGCGATGGATGGTGCTGGGCCAGCGCCACATGTGGCTGGGTCTACTGGGGAGGGCATTTGGCTGAAGAACAGAACGAAAAGAACAATAGCCGGCCAAGAACCCGATGCACAGACAATAATATAGCATCATCGGAACAATAAGATGGACTAGTACATTTCACCCAGTTTACAGTGCCACTTTCTGCCCATCTATGGCCGTACTTACAACATTCAAGATCAAAAAAGCCGCCACGAAAAAAAGGACGACTTTGCTCCTGTCCAGATTTGGAAGGAGTCCACGGGCTGTGATTGGTTTGTGACTCGGTTAAGCCTCAGTGGGGCCAGGCTGGTGCCATGGGCGTGCAAGGGGAGGTTTAGGTAACGGGGGGCCCGGTTGGTCTGGCTGATCCGCCCGGCTGCCAGTGTGGAAAACCAGCGCCAGCCGGAGCAGTCGTCTCTTATTGTCAAGTCCTTCAGCACGGCGCACAATACACATACAATAAAGCGATGCTGCAAGCGAGGAACAACAATTGCTGAGGGCCATCTCATTTAAAGGTCCTCTGGTATATTGTGTCTATCTGTTCCATCTGCTCACTTAATCGTCGTCGGTCTTGTTGATCAACCTCTTCCGACTACTTTGTTTCTTCGCTTTTTTTGCATTTGATGCAGAAACCGTCATCGACGTCGTCTTCTGCCTCCCGACCATACGTCTGCATCTTCTTCTTCCTCTTTCCCCATACCCCCTCTCTCCTCCATCGAGGTCTTCGTCGAATTCCCATCATTCATTCACGTCTGCATTGCCTCTACTTACCATCACCCGCTCCTCCCGTGAGCACATCTTGGCATTCGACGTCCATCCTTCAAGACGCCACGCCTCACCTGTTGTTTGATCGCAACCTCTTTCTTCTCCGCAAGTCTTTTCTCCGCCCGGTCATCGCCTTTGACTACGGCATCCTACCAACACGGTGGACCTTTGCACACTAGGCTTTATTTCTGCAGCCTGCAGCCAGCACCCAGCAGCCTGTGGGAGGTCGCCTTGACAGGTCACCCGCATCTCAATCAGACCAGTGGAGAGATCGTTCCCTCCTCGTCACTCCATCGGCACATGGGCATGGAACACTCGGATAGTCACCTGCAGGTAGAATCCGCGCGTGCTCCCACTTACACCTTCATAAACAACACCTCCAGTACCCGGCCGCTCTCGGGTTTTCCATCACTTCCCTCACTCCCAATCAACCTCAAATCCCACATCAACCCACCGTCAAATCACATAATGAGCCAGTGCAGCCTCCAAGCGGCTGCCAACGAACCAGATATGGACGGCGCCATCCCAGAAGAAGTGGCCATCACCCAGAATGCCACCGCGTCAAGAGCCACCGCCGTCCCCAGCAACAAAGGCAGAGGCCGCGGTCGATGGACCCGCCCCAGGAACACCAAAGTCACAAAACCCGCCCAACAAAAAGCACCTTCCGGTCGGGGACGTCGCCAAAAAGTATACGAAAATCCCCGGGTCCAGGCCGCCCATGAACGCACCCAAGAACTGAAGCAGGCCTTCCTTGCCATTAGCAAGTTGGTTAAGCCGGCAGCCCAAGAGGTCGCTGACCGCTCCATCAACGAGCTGCTCGAAGACCCCGCTCTCTACAAGCAAGTGCCTCAATACGGAGCCACCAAGAAGTTCCTGCGGGACCGCCACGACGAGACCATTCAACAGTGCAATGACCGCCTCGAGCACGGCCTCGCCATGGCAGAGCATGTCTGGCAGGCCCAGCATCAAAAGGTCATGGAGGAGTATACCGTAAGTCGCACCATTCTCTTAACCGCCGCCGTGCTCTCTGCTGACGTATCGAAACTTTCATAGACCAAGGTCGCCGAGCTCTGCGAGGACAGATATGGCCAGCTCCTTCGCCAGCTAGACATCCTCGAGACTCTCTACGAGAACGGTCTGCCCGCTGATGTGAGTCTCTTTCTTACCAGGCAATTTTCCCGTGCATCGTTAGCTAACCCGGCCTCTCTTAAGCTGCCTGCCGACGACGACAAAAGGTATCTCTTCAAGGAGATTACCCAGGAAGACGCCGACTGCCAGGGCGTCTTTCGCGAGACCGAAGGCGGCGTCGAGGTGCCGCATTCCGGCAAGACCATCTCCCAGCTGATGGTCAAGCCGCAGACGCTCCCCCTGGAGCCGAAGCGGAAGGCAGATGGCCAGCCGGAGGGCTTGCCTGCGGCGAAGGTGGCCGCCGTCGCCAAGGGGGACGAGACGGCGCCCCAGATGCCCAGGCATCCGGCTGGCCTCCTCGGCGCCGCCGACGCCATCGAAGAGAGCGGCGCGACGACCTCGGACTCGGGCTCCGGCGCCCCCACCCCGACCCCCGTCCCCGAACCGGCAGAGGAAGCGGCCCCCGAACCGGTCAACCAGCGCGTCGTCAGCGGCGTGGCAACCCCGGACGACGGGCCGGAACTCCCAATTCCCCGCGGCGCGACGGACCCAGACGAGTTTGGTGTTCGTCTCATCTCGAGACGACCCACTCGCATGGACATCCCGAACAACCGCATCATGGTGCCCAACTTGTTCGAGTGGGACGACCTTGACATCGGTTTCCGGGACTCGACCAACTGCGTCCAGAAGGGCGCCACGAAGCAGCGCCGCGGGAAGTACCTGGGCCGCCCCGGCTCGAACTGCATGTTCATCGACCGCCGGGCCGGCATCTGGGATTCCACCCTGGCCGCCGGGGAGCTGGACGACGACCTGGTGAAGAAACACAAGCTTCACCCCACCCTCGGCATCACCCTTCCCGACTCAGTCAACGAGTGGGAGGCCCCCAAGCCCACCGCCAACGGCTGGAAGTCTGTCGTCTTCGTGCCGCCCAGCGGTGACCCCATCCACGCCTCGCGGACCATCGAGGCCGCCAGGATGGACGCCGAGACGGAGGTGGCCGAGCGCCGAATGAGGATTGTACGACTGGTGCGCACTGCCTGCGAGCAGGAGGACATCTCGCAAGAAGACGTCGCACCAGACGCCGAGCTTGTGGAGAAGAACCGGATCGAGGTATTGGTCGCTCGGGGCCTCGACCCCGCCCAAGTCGTCCAAGTCGCCCAGCCGGAGCCATCGTCGCCCACCCCCGAGCCTGCCGTCGAGGACACGCTGCTCTTCGACCAGTTCGCCACCGATGCTCTCGGTGCCGCTGCCGCCCTCGAGGCAGTAGAGGAGGCCGCCCGCATGGCCGCGGCGAAGCGAGCCCAGCAGCCCCGACCCTACGACGCCATCCGGGACGTCTTTACCGAGAGCCCCTCCACCCGGCAGCCCTCCCCTCCCACGGCGCAAGAGACCCCCCTTCCTGCTCCGCCCATGGCCGCCGACACCAGCGGGCTCTCCTACCTTGCCGATCTTGCCCTGCAACCGGAGCCTCCCGCGATGCAGCCCGCCGCAACCGAGCAGCCGCATCACGGCCAACCACCGCTCGAGACGATGATGGCCCTGGGCGAATACGACCATCAGCAGGCAGAGTACGCCCGGTCGGCCGAATATCCGCCACCCGACCCTGCCCACTTTGCCCGGCAGGATGGGCCGTCGGCACCCATGGAGCCCGTCAGGACCAACGACTTTCTCCGGACCGCCCTCAACCCCCAACCGGCGTCCCCTCCCCTGCACATGTCGTCGGTTCAGGAATACGGCGGCGTCCCCCTCGCTCCGGCACACGGCCCCATGACCAACCAAGGACCACAATCGTCGGCCGGACGAACCCCCTTTTCCAGCACCGGCGCTGCCAAGGCCCTTCCGGCGCTGCGGCCGATGCGAAGTCTTCTGAATGAGACCCCGGCGTTTCAAGAGCCACAGGGCAACCCGGCCTTGCATCACAACATGGTGCCTTCGAACAGCGGTGCATACTTCCCACCCGCAGCCAACCGCCCATTTCACAACTCCTACTCCGTTCAGGGGCAGCCACAGCCGATGCAGTCCATGATGCCGCAGATGCAGCTGGGAAACCCGCACCAGCCGCCGTCTCACGCCTGCCCGCCTATGGGACCAGCACCCATTCGGCGAATGAGCACGCCTCCACCTTACCACCAACCGGCTAACCCTCCGCTCGGCCCCGCGCCGGGGTCCGCTCTCGGTAGCCAGGCGCCCATCCACTATCAAGGAGGACAGCAACCCCTTGCACCAGCTGGGTCCTCAGCGCCTCGGTCCCGCCCGGGAAGCTCCTCGGCTGCGAACTCGGCGGCCGCTTCTAAATACCGCAAGCTCGAGCCGGCACCGACTCCACCCCATCGCCTATCGTACTCGGGCAATGGTCAAGAACTACGAACCGTCCAGTTCGACTACCGCGAGGCCATCAAAGACTACAGTGCCGTCGAGGCCCCGCCCAGGCATGGTCCCACCCAGATCAGGGGCTGGACCCACAACAATATCAGAAAGGTCGGAAGGCCGGCCTCGTCTCCTTCCAGGGGCGATGCACATGCCGGCAGCAGCGCCAACTCCGATGAACCATCCGCTTAGAGGGCGGGTGGCGGAGGTGGCGCCAGTAGCGGAGGCAGCCCTGCGAACAAGAAGAGCGGCGACAGGAAGCGCACAAGGGAGGATCCCAACGAGGGACCGCCGGGGAAGAGGGTCAAAACCGCCGGCCCCAGCTTTGCTCCCATTTCGGGCCATGGCCACGGGTTTACTGCTGCGTCTCAAGCTCCCTCCTCTTTACCTCCCTCGCGTTTTGTGCCAATCGCGCCGCGCGTGGAGAACCACGCGAGACTTCCTACACCCACATCGGCGTCAGCAACGGTACCTACACCGCCCATGGGTCACTTCCCTCCTGTTTCTGCGGCAAACACGAATCCTGCCGTCACACATAACCAGCCTACGCCGAAGAGCGACGTCAAAAAGCCGAGAACGCGGGCCGCTACTCGCGCTCCGCGGGCAAGGAGCCCTTACAATCTGCGGAGCCGTGGGGGTGCGCAGAACACTGGCACCAATACGAACCCAAGCCCGTAGGATCTTTCTACCTCGGAGGGCTTAAATACTAACTAATACTGGTGGATGGAAAGAGATGGGGGAAAACGGGTTGGCCGAGCCATCCAATCGGGTTGAGGTTGTCACAGACTTAAAAGAAAAAAAACATTCCAAGTAGAGGAGTTCCAGGCAGGAGTTCCAAGCAACGGAGCGATACGGAGTTTTTGAATCATGCATTCATCATGATAGAAAAAGAGCGAGAGCGAGAAACTCGGGTAGGATACGGGCGTATGGATGGATCAACATATGACGCAAGGTGTCTCTGGTTTGGGTCAGGGCTGGAAAAACCATGAGTTGCATTTTTGGGGGTGTTGCATAGCTGGCTGGCGAGGTTTTACTCGGACATAGCATCAACTTTGGCATTTGTGTTGGCGGATGATACCAAAAGAGCATGGTTGCGAAGCCCAGGGGTGAGAAAACGAATGTCCTTGAGGCGGTTTTGCGTTGCGTTTCGTTACTGGGTAGCTGTTGGACTGCCGTATCTAGGTACTTAGGAATCAGAGCTGCTCTACTTACTTTACTCATGTTCCGTTTGTGATGGTGATGATGAAGAGGGTCCCTTGAACAGTAAAATGAACGGCGAGTTGAACCCGGCAATTCTACACGTCGGTGTCGTGCTACCTAAATGCTTGGAGATGATAAATCATCACTGAGGGGGGTATGCAACCATCTTCTACCCTTTCATCGGCCCACTCAGCTTCACATATCCCACCAGGAAATCCCATCCAACCTGCCTTGAATTGGATCCTCTCCAAGTATATTAGGTCACAATTTCAAAGCTCAAACACGCGGAACACATTCATTCGTGTTAAGAACTATGATCTGCGTTGTAATCCCACCGTCTAAAGCGAAGCGAAACCACCCGGGGCCTGCCCCCAGAGCGCAGCGCTATCCATTCGCAAACCCATCCATCTCCTCGCCCATGACAAAGCCATCGTTCTCTTGTCTCACCTCAACATATCCGAGTACCAACCCTCCGGGATAACGAGTCAGCCACGGCCCCACGGCCCCTAAATACTCCCGCACGACAACAACGCGCGAGAAAGAGTTAGAGAAAGAAAGAAAACGTGGATTGCTCGTATCCTTTTGATTACGTGACTCCCCACAACCCAACACCAACCCATCTGCTCTATCTAGGTAGCCCAACAACAACCACACCCTGCCATCCCCCATCCCCCATCCCTCATCCCTCATCCCTCATACCACATCCCTCATACCACATCCCTCAACCCACCATCAACGCACCCCCCTCCCCAGCCCCAAGAACAGACCCATGAGCATCAACACCACCAACACCCTCCTCCAACCCCACCACCGGCCCCGCACTCACCAGCAACCCCCTCCCCAGCTCGCCCTCGGGATGCAAGGCATACACGCCGGCCTCCATGACCTCGCCATCAAACACGACAAAGTTCTGAATCGGCTGCTGCGTGCACCCCAGCACATTGATGACATCCTGCGCCAGCTGCCCGCCCAGCACGGCCGCCACGGGCGCGACCTCGCTCGCACCACCACGACCACCACCACCACCATTCCCACTACCATCCCCCCCGCCATTCACACCCCCATTCCCATTCCCTACAGACGCAGACGCAGACGACGGCGCGACATTCTGCAAAAACGCACGCAGCACATCACTCCGCAGCGTCTCGGACGGCAAGCCCAGCGCCTTATGCTGGTCGCTGCAGAGGCGAGTAAACTCGGCGAGGTGGGAGCGGTCGGCGGTCTGGGGCGCGGCGCCGGCGTGGTTGGCGGCGAACTCCCAGGCGGCGCGGAAGCAGGACAGCAGCGGGGTGACGGCGCGGCGGCGGCGCGGCGAGCGCAGGATGTCGGCGGGGAGCTGGGAGGCGCCCGAGGCGAGGTACCAGGTCGAGTAGAGCTCGCGCTTGGTGACGAGCTCGGTGGTGGCTTCGGCGCCGGGTTTGGGGGCCACGGCGAGGACGGAGCGGGTTCGGGATTCCGGGCCGAGGGGCGTGGGGAGGTTGGATTTGGCGCGCGAGATGACGAAGGTGTGCTCGATGAGGTCGGCGAAGAGGAAGCCGTAGAGGCCGTGCGAGTTGGCGGCGTAGAAAGGTCGGGAGTGGAGGCGGGTGGCGGTGTTGATGATGTTGAGGGTGGGGGAGTCGAGGTCTGTGGCGATGATGATGTCGAAGGGAGCGAAGAAGGAAGGGGGCTTGAACCGCACGTCGACCGTGTCGATGTGGATGCGCACGCGGGGGTTGAGGCGCTGGAGGGCGGCGGCGGCGGCGGCTGCGCGGTTGGTGCCGAGAGGGGTGGTCTCCTCCGAGAGGAGGAATTGCGCGCCTAGATCGGAGGGGGTGACGGGGTCCGGGTCGAGGATGGTCAGCGAACCGATGCCGGCGAGGACGAGGTTCTTTGCGATCTCGTTGGCCAGCGCTTTCATGGTGATGAGGAGGATGTTGGCGTTGCGGATCTTCTCCTGGGCCTTCATCCCCCAGAGGCGGATTTGGCGATCATAGAGGGCAATCTCATCTGACGGGTGGTTAGAGGATGTGATATGGCAAACTGGATATTGTGGACCGCTTACCGGCGCTGATGGCGTTCCCTGGCGCCGGCACCGACCCGTTGTTATCGGTTGGCATGGTTGGTGTCGCGGCCGTTTGATTGCCAAAGATGACGGCTGGCTCTGGGGCCTGGGCTTGTTGATGATCCATCGAGAAGACTTGAATTTCTTTTGGGAATTATGATCGTCTTTGAAGTGGGAAATCGAGGTTCAATTGTTGGGTTGATTAAGAGGTCGTTTGGTTGAGGGTGGAGGGTTAAGTTCAGCTGAATTGGAACTTCAGTTGCTCCCCGCAAACACGGAGACTTTTGACCCTTCTTGCTGAAAAGAAATGTCGAGATCCGTTTGCTTTCAAGCGGAAGCGCAAACGGAGCTGGAGCAAGTTGAAACCGTTGGTTGCCCGATGCAAACCAGTGAGTTGTCCGGTCTTAAACACCGTCGACTTGTAACTCGTGAAATCGGCCTGCCCAGGTGGGTATTCGTAGTGACGAGCCTGGGACCTCAGCGTGAAACCTGAGCCTAGAATCTCGCCCGGTACCTTAGGTGAGCTCAAGATGCAAACTCCGCCGTGGATTGGGGCATGTACTCGGAACTGAACGTTTAATGAACAAAAGGCTGAAAAACGCAGCAGTCACTCGTTCCTGCATTTGGTTGTGTGTCGTTGCAGCCCGTCGCACCTATTGCAGCTTGGCGAGGCTGCGTTAAGAGGTACACAGTTTAGGCGACGGCAGCAGCCAGGATGCGAGTATTTGCTAACTAGCAGTTCGTTTGATCCACTAGTTAGCTTTAAACAGCCCCACAGCTGACTCGGAAAGCCGGGTGTTCGCTCACCATTTGACATGTTCCCTGCAGGTTATATCCTTATTTCTCATTTTGCTTTTATTTTATTGCGTTTGATGTACGGAGTAGATTTCAATATTAAAAGAGTTACCTTGAATGTCGCTTCCCTTTTTGTTTGAAGATCTCGCGATGAAGGCATCGAGAATGAAGCCCCGAGCCCGGGACTGTAATTTGTAGCCATTCCTGATTGGTTAACATTCCGTGCCACAGTGCCGCCACGGACCCTGACTGGTTCCCCTCCACAACTTTCCCGTCTTGCATGTTACTCGGTACGTCGTACCATTCGACTGAGGGCCTCAAATCTCCACCTTGAGCTGCGCACTCCGATAACCGACCGGTTTGTTCTTCAACTACTTCATACATGCTGTGGTGGATCGACCAATTTCAACTTACTGCGAGTCGACGTCAATTTCCGTTTTCTCACTTTTTACCTCTCGAACCTCTTTTTCAGGCTGCGGCTTTGTTGTCCCATGGTTAGTCGTCCCTCAAGAAATCTGTACGGTTCGCCTGATAGCGTGGCCTCGTGTCACCTGTATTTGCTGCCATTTGCCGCATCCTCAGGTTGCCTGCTGCTTCGGAAATTGGCCGCATTTCCCTCCGTCCACAATTTTAACACATAACTCAGTCCGGCGACCGTCCTCTGCTTCCTCCGTTGGAACCCGGTACATTTAGGGGCGCCGACGGTACCATCCGTCGCTTTCTCGTCAACCCCACCGGCTCCTCTTCCTCCTCCGATGACCGATCGACGGACAGCGCCTCCGAGAGGTGGTACTCGGTAATCCGCCAATTCCACCCCGACTTCTCCAGCTTCAATCAGCACTTGTCTACCAATACCCAAAGTACGGACTCGGCCGTCGTTAGAATGGCCTCCAGCCCAGACGGAGACTTGCGACCGAGATTCAACCGAGATCCGCAACCCTCAAACGCCCCGCCTCCCCCAGCTGCCGCCTCGCCCGCTTCCCCTTCGCTCCCGCCGCTCCGGTTTCTCGATCCGAGAGCGCGGGCCTCTCCTACCACGTTTACCGGATCGGGGTCCCGCTCCAGCCGCTACCGCCCCGCTGGCCGGTACTTAGATAGGGTTCGCTCGCACCTGGGCACCACCCTTGATGACCTGAACCGAAACATCCACGACACTGACGCACTACGAGCGTTGGTGGACTTCGCCAATAATCCTGTCATGCCGCGTTCATCCGCCGCCGTTTCGGACACACCGAACGACGTGGATATGGCCGATGCGAATCGCCGCATCAAACGCCGAAAGCTGGATACGGAGAGGTCCACCCCGACTTACAAGGGCTTCCGTTATGGCAGATACGGCCAGATTGAGCCCGGTCAGCTCAGCATGGAAATCGTGAGCTGTGACGGGGGGCTTTACTCGGACGAGCACTCGTACCCACCCGAAAACATCCTCAAAAACGACTCATCTGTCTACTGCACCAAGAGCAATCGCTGCAACATTGTCTTGAAGCATCAGGGCGGGACTGTGTTCAGCTTACAGGAACTTGTCATCAAAGCCCCCGGGTCGAAGTTCTCATGCCCGTACGTTTCACTACCCACTCCGCGGGAATGTGCCATGCTCATCCTTGCTCCTTAGTATCCGAGAAGGCATGGTATTTGTGTCAATGGAGTTGGACGACCTGCTCAACCGTACCGCACAATATCAAATCCAGTATCTCCCTGCCCGCAGTCACCGACGTGGGACCGTCTACTTCCGCCACGAGGAGGACGGCCTTCCCCGGATACAGCGTCGGTCGTTGCGGGCGTACAGCTATGGCGCGGATGACGACGACGAAGACGGCGGCGGCGACGGCAGGACAGCACAGATTCCGCCAGAGTTCACCGCGTCTCCGGCCCCTTTTAACGTTACCACCGTATGTAGCGACGACGAAAGCGACGGCGAGGATCACTCTTCAAACCTGCCTGCCTATCGCCAGGCAACTCGCCAGCCGGCGCGCACCTTGCCCTTTGAAAGCGACAGCGACGACGAGGAAAGCATCCAAATCTTTCCCAACAACCGGCTCACGTCTTGGCCCCCCGTTGACGAGGACGAAATCGACCACAGCAGCAATGCCGCCGCCGTCCTTCGGCGGCGGTACCGCGCCTCCCGCTTCCACGGCGGTGCGTCTTCCAACAGCAACCAAACGAGCAACAACCGAAGCGGCAGCGGAAGCGCCAGCGCCAGCGCTAACACTGATGCTGGTGGGAACGGCATGACGCTCGAAGAGGCACAGGAGGCGTCGCAGATCGCGACGCAAGAGGCCGTGCGGGCGGTCGGCGGCGAGCTGATGGCGCCGCTGGCGCACTTCTTCATCGAGAAGGACAAGAACAAGTGCACCGTGCGCTTCGACCCCCCCGTGAGCGCCCGCTTCATCCTGCTCAAGATGTGGAGCACCCACCAGGACCCGCAGAAGAATATCGATATCCAGGCGGTGGTGGCTAAGGGGTTCGCCGGGCCGAGGTATTGTCCGGCGGTTGAGCTGGCTTAGATGATGCATGGGTACCTACGGGGGTTGGGATTGGGAATGGTTTTATCGGATTCGGATGGGGAATACTTTGGCATTGCCCTGTTTAGAGGCAAGGGCTGGACTGGGCTGGCGTTTCGGATGGGGAATGATGGTTTGGCATGGCATGGCATGGAGGATAATATTGTATCTAGGGAGCTAGGTACCCTAGCATGGGTTTATGATGTGGGATCTCTCTTGGTTTGGCCACGGAAGCATGGATCATTGGTACGGCATAGTTACGAGTTTTTTGAGATGCGGGCACGCCTGATCTGTCTGCTGAGTTTTTGTTTTTGGTCCATTTTGGGATTGGTAGCGTTGATCAATGGGATGGGCATGGTATACAACTACGAAGCACGTCTGGTTTGTCTTGTACGAATACTCTTTCGAGGAACTTGGTGGTTCAGTGGAGAGGTGCATGCTCCATGTGTTTGTTATTGGCGAAGCTCGGGGCCAATGAGGCGGTCCCCGGATGATTCATAGTGAATTGCACGGTTTGTTGTGAGGTCGCTGCTGAGTCACTGCAGGAGGCAATGCTGCTTCCCAGTCCTGAATGTCTTGGCGAGCGTGGTGCTTGACTCATCCGGCAGGGGCGAGAATTGGATCGACTGTGGTGAAGAGGCAAACGGATGTTTGAAAGATACCTCGGCTTTGGGGATGGGAATGTGTGTTTCTGGGGCGTGTACGGTGGGAGATGAATGAGGGTAGGTGATGGGGAGGGTGAAGATAAATGCCCAAGAACTGTAATATACTGTAATATGCGTGCCTGTCAAGCTTATGGCTGTAAATATTCTACGTAACATTCAGCGCCAGCTTCCAGGTACGGAAGTAGGTCCACCCCAGCGTAATTCACAAACACTTTGACAAAGTAAGGCTTATACGTCCTCTATGCATACAACTCAGCTTCCTACCGGGGTCATATTAATCATTATGGGGAGTCACGGGCTTCGCATTGGGCCGCAGGACGCAGGGCCTTGAAGATGCGGGCTCATGGCCCCACTTAGATTTCTGCCCAGTATCATATATATCTGCCGTTTTCTCTCGCCTCCACACCTTCGCATTAGCAAGCAAAACAGCAAACACCAAAGGCGACAGACCTCAAGGTCAACCCAGCGAGAAAAAAAAGAACACAAGACCGTTTCACCTTACCTCCCCACACCAGACACATAAACAGCGACCACCAGATAATTGCAATCATGGCTGTCCGAGCACAATTCGAGAATTCCAACGAGTAAGCCACACCCAGTTTTGCCCCGCGTTCCGACGACCCCGCGATGATATGCGATTGTGCGACGGCACACACGCGACCACCCTCTCTCGCTTGATCTCGAAATCATGGCTGACCACAATGTAGGGTTGGCGTCTTTGCGACATTAACAAACTCATTTGCCCTCGTGGCGGTCGGCGGGAGCGAGAACTTCTACAGCGTGTTCGAGGCCGAGCTACAGGACGTGATCCCCATCTGCAGGACAACAATTGCGGGCATGCGCATCGTTGGGCGGTTAACAGCTGGGTATGTTTTGTCTGGAGTTCCCCTGAAACGAGAGAATGGTCCCATCGCTATCAACAAGATGCTGACGGTACTCCCCATGCTCTAGTAACCGGAAAGGCCTGCTCGTCCCCACCACCACAACCGACCAGGAGCTGCAGCATCTACGCAATAGTTTGCCGGACGAAATCAAAATCCAGCGCATCGAGGAGAGGCTGTCGGCGCTGGGCAACGTGATCGTGACCAACGACCACACGGCGCTGGTACACCCAGACCTGGAGCGCGAGACGGAGGAAATCATCGCCGACGTGTTGGGGGTGGAGGTGTTCCGGCAGACGGTAGCGGACCACGTGCTGGTGGGCTCGTACATGGCGCTCAGCAACCGGGGCGGGCTCGTGCATCCCAAGACCAGCATCCAGGACCAGGACGAGCTCAGCAGCCTGCTGCAGGTGCCGCTCGTCGCGGGCAGCGTGAACCGCGGGAGCAACGTCATTGGCGGCGGCATGGTGGTCAACGATTGGATGTCGGTCACCGGGCTCGACACCACCGCGACCGAGCTCAGCGTCATCGAGAGCGTCTTCCATCTCGGCGAGGGCGCCGCGCCCGGGAACGTCAATACCACCATTAAGGACACGATAGTGGAGTCGTTTTACTGAGCGGCGAGGCGGTGGGACCGGTCTTGGTTAGTTAATTACAAACCTTTCAGGTCTGCGCGAGGCGGGCTTGACAAGGTTGGATCCGCGCCATTTCAGGGGCGCTTTGGGTGGTCGAACGAGCGAATACCGATGTCGGGCTCGTTGACTGCCTTTGTGGGGGTATTATTAGTAGATCGAATAGATCACTTCCCTCCCAGTCCTTTCCATCCTGGCGCCTTGGTTGTCTTACCCAACTGCCGGTGCGAGTAGTGGCACCGGGGTTAGGGTGATAATACTGGCTGCTTATATCCGATTCTCGCTATGATTGCCGGATCGACATCAAACACGTTCTGTTCCTGTTCCTGGTTGCAAATACATGCCTTGGCTCATTATACCCCTGTGAATTAGTTACAGATCACCGGCGAGCTGGCCCGTGGTTTGCTAGTTCCTCCCGCTTGAAACCAGACCAATCGAGGCTCTCTCCAAGATCTCTAACCACGTAAAGGTCCCGCATTGGTGCAGCATTTCATACCTCGCCAGATACGAATACCACGAATGGATATCCTGTTTCTTTGAAGTATGCAGGTCTGACTTTAAGCAAAGCTAAAGTGATTCGAGACAAATCCTTCAACATTAGCGGCGGTTTGTTAAGTGGAGCCTGACGCGTGGAAATGTCAACTGAGAACCCCGGAAACTGCCCCAACTTGGAAGGCGCCTGCCGTTCTCGTAAAGAGAGCAATGTCCTCGGTTCCCACCCGACGTTTGTTCACCGGCTTCTTTTCTTTCCTTTTTTCTTTCTTTCTTTAGGCTCCTCGACTGGTTGATGCCAACATTGGCATGGTGGTCGATGCGCATAAACTATATTTGAATCGATAGCTATCCCCTATCGCGTTCCATTGCCAGCCCGCGCTGCGCATAACTCCCAACCTGCGGGTTTGCGGGGACCTGGGGTGGTGTTGACCTGAACGAAGGAGCTCCTATTCGCCCACCGTTGCCGTGTCACGTTCTTATCCCCGACCTTCAACTCTCACTTCGTTCATCAACTCGCTGGCAGGACTCCATTGGAGCTTGGTTCTTGACGACATTGGGCTTATTTAGGCTTCCAAATCCCACCCGGATGTAACTGACGCGGCGCTCCCGTTTGAGGATTTCGACTTACGGAACAACAAGGACCATCTGGGAGCTCATCGTTGCGATTGCGAGTGTTGGAATGTCGAGCTGTCACCGGACAAATCACCCAGTTACAACAGCTTGAAACCCTCGAATCAGCCCCGCCAAACCAAACTACTTCAGTAGAGGCGAAACCGAATCGAGATCAGATTGTCGTGGCCGGTCCAGGGATACCCACGGCGCCCCCGAAACATTAACGCATCATGCTAAGCTCCAACCCTGCCTTGTCCTCCCCGCCGCCTTTGCAGTATCGCCCGTCGCCTCATTCTACACCCGCTCGCGCATTACAATCACGGGTGGCGACCCCGGATAATGGATACGTTTCCCCGCGGCAGCAACTCGAGAGGCACACACCCACACCCGGTTCACCACTTCAGCTAAGCCAGCAGCAGTCGCAGCCGCGGCATGGTTTGAACGCGCCACGCCCATCACTCCCACCGCTGTCAGAATACCACAGCGGGTTCGGACACGAGGACCTCGGCTCTCCCTTCAATCCAACCAACCACCGCCGGCAACATTCTTTTCCCAACTTGCTTCCTTTGGCCTTCAAGAGCAGGACGCCATCGCCCACCAGGAAAACACACAGTAGATCGCCCTCGGAACAGATGCCCTACACCGGCGACGGGAGGAGTAAAGGCGGAGGGGGTGGAGGGTTGGCCAGCTGGTTGAGCGGTAGCGCGGGGGCAGCGGACGCACTGGGTCTATCCCACGACCCAGAGACCCGCAATAGCCCCGGGCCCGGGACATCGAAAGACGCCACAACGCCAAACATGACACCCACCCAACCCCAGCAAACACGTACCGGGCAAAGTACCGCCGGTTCGAACGTAGCGACCCCCAAAAGCACGACCGCCACCACCACAGCCGCATCCCGCTTCATGTCCGCCCTCTCCTCCCGCTTCAACCCTACCACACCCACAACCAGCCCCCTTCCCAGCGTCGCTACCGCCCACCCGCAAGACGAGATATGCACCCTCAACATCGAAGCCGCTCTCTTCCCTTCGTCCCCGTCTTCGCCCTCGGGGGCGGCACGGGACGCCTTCTCACCCTCGGCCTTCAAAAACCTACACCTCAACGCCGTCGGTCTACTCAATAAAATGCAAACCGCCTATCGCGAGCAAGCCGCCACGTTACGCGACCTCCAAGCGGAACGCTCTGCACAGGGGGACGAGGTCGAGGAGGCCGTTACGCGCGCAGAGCACCTCAGGATACAACTGGAAGGCATGGCACGGAAGGCGGCGGAGCAAGAACAGGCAATAGGGGCGCTTGAGGCGGAATTGGAGGGGGAGCGGAAAGCAAGAGCGCGGGCAGAGGCGGCTTTGGGCTGGACAGCAAGGCGAGCTCCATCGTCTGTAGGAGAAGGCGCATCGGTGGTGTCGGAAGATTTGGGGGTTGAAGAGGAAAGGAGAAGGCAAAGGAGAGAAAGTAGACACCGGAAGAGCGTTGCTGATGGTTTGTCGGGCGAGGAGGATACTACCACGGACGACGAGAACGATAGTGCGGGGAGCGAGAGCGTCTTCTCGAGATCCCGGAGCCCGGCCCTACCTCTACAGTCGCCGCTACAACAGGCGCACACCGTCAGCAGTATGTCGGACGCGGCATCCATCGTGGGGGTGGCGGATGCGTCCGGGACCCCGCAGGTTGCGAAGACCCCCAGGAGTGGATCAGTGAATGCCACGCCCAAACAGAGGCCGATGAGCGCGTTCCAGAAGATTTTCAAGGGCATCTCGCGCGAGGATGCGGGATGTTTGAATTGCAAGGGGCAGGACGCGAGCGTGGCGTGGGACACGGTTGGCTTGCTGAGGGACGAGAACAGGCATCTGAAGACCAGAATTGGAGAGCTTGAAGTTGCGGTGGAAGGGGCATTGGATATGGTCAACGGGATTGGGCTATAGGTTGCTCAACTCGTCTGTTTTGGGTCTCGGCGTTTGGGTAACCATTGTGTTCGTACTCCATCCACATGGTGCCGTATTCATAGTAGGTTTTTGGCGTTGATGGCGGTTTTGCATAAATGGACACCTATTGGCACATAGGATATATAGACTAGGCAGTGCTCATTGGAATAATATAAAAGAGCACATGGGGCCCTCTTAGCAGAAATGCATATTGCTTACTGCTGAACTCTGTAGGCAACGTTGTTACCTTGCTCGGTTTCTAATTAAGGAACATGAACTAACTAAAACATTTCTAGCTTTTGATGTCTACCAACCATTGTCACTACATTCCCTTAGGTAGGTTGGCATGTGGCCAGTCGGTTATCACAGCAAGATCTTTAGTCGAAAAGGTCAAAGCTCACCGGCCAGCCCCCTTCGCGGTCGAAGGGAGGTAGCCGGTTATGAAATCCCTAAGGTGTTAACTTCGTGTGCCCAGTTGCAGCCGGTTGGTGCCCCGTCGGGCGACTGCGTAATTCCTTCTGAGGTGGAGGACTCTACCAGCGTCCCGGCACCTCCCAGAAAAACCCCGAGCTAGCATCGTGATTCGAACGTTAGCCTTCCCTTAAGTCCGGTAGTGACGAGGGGCGAACCAGATGGCCCGTGGGCCGAGGGCCACCGCCTAACCGCTGAGCTACCCAGCTAGGTGGTGGTCCTCGTTGGAAATCGGCTGCGCAAACTCCTCCTATATTGTGCATCCTGTTCACCCACCGGCACTCCAGCTAGTTCCAGCAATTATCGTATGTTTCCAATCTGCCGTTCGCAATCAGCAACTTCAAGTGTTAGCCCGGCATACACCGCCCCAAAGTCATTGCATTCCAGATCAACAACGCCTCGAAATGTACAATGATATTCCATCTGACGTGCATGAGGCACGAATCCGCAGATTTTTTACGAGTTTGGGCCCTCTTTCGGGGCATCAATAACCCATCTGTCGGCCGCTTTAACCGCCGTCTTCCACACCAAACCCATCCATGGATATGCTCACCCTCAACCCTCTCCATTCTCCATATCCACCCCCCACCGCACCGCACACACCACGAGCAGCCAAGCTACCTCACCAACCCCCCCCCCCCCCCGCAAGAGGGTGTAGACTCGTAAAAAATCTGCGGATTCGTGCCTCTTGCCCGTCAGATGGAATATTATTGAGCATTTCGGGGCGTTGTTGGTATGGAATTCACCGTTTTGGAGCTTTAGCTGTTCGAGACGATCATCGCTGTTACCTGGGGGGACTAGGAAAAGACCAACCAGCCGATCGTCGATCCCACGACCGCGGCCTGAGTAAACCCTCGCACCTGAAAGTCAGATCGACGAATGTTCTCCGGTGAATCCCACGTAGCTGAAAAACCGGGAAACCCCGGCACAGAGACCCCACTGGGCCAACCCTAACTGTATAAAGATCCAACACACCGGAGTAACCTAGGTGCCTCTACCGGGTTACTCTCAAGCCGTGACCAATCTATCTAGAAGCTGGAAGAAGAGTGAT